ACCAACTCGAATTTGGGTCGCGAAACGGGGTTGAATACTTCCATCGCATAAAAGCATAAACGTCCGTACTGGACGAAACTGCTCGATAGCTCACGCATGTTTTATAAAGGCCATTAAGTGATTAGTATTTGCCCGTAGCATTGATACGCGAAAAAGGGAGCAATTTTCCATCCTTGGCTAAATATAAACGCGATTATTATTAATTATCAAGCGACCCTTTTTCTCCCTTCCTCTCACGACAAACTCATTTGATATCACCCTCGTACACATGCGATACGCAAGCTGTGCGATGATGTTTTATTTTTTTTTATTTTTTTACATTTTTTTTCATTTTGTTTTATATACGGTCCTGTGCCACTTGCATTTTGATTCGCGAATCGATAGAACAAAACCCCAGTTTTGCATATTTACATGCACATACACACATATTCATACACCTACAGAAAACCGGGGATGGGGGGTGAAATAATTAATATCGCCGAGATAACGATGATGATGATAGGTTTTTCTTTTTTTTTGGTGCATTTTCGCGAGGAGTGGTCCCGCTTTTACTGAAATTAAAATCATTTTCTTAATGCCGAAGGGAAGGCGCGAGCGGTGAGGGTGAAAGGGCGTCGCGACGCCGACCTTGACGGCCGTTCACTTGGGCCCGACCCCCTTCGATCGCGTGGCTCAAAAGAAACCGAGCAGTGAAAGCCGAGAAGAAAGTAAATCGCAATAAAAAAAAAGACCAAGAGGGCGAGAGAGAAAAGGCGGATGCGCCTGGTTATAGAAATATTTTAACAGGAAATTTGTTTAAAAAATTCCAATGATTTGATTTTTTGTTTATAATAGTGTATGAAATTTTAAGATTGATGCAATAAATGTTATTAATTGTATATCATTGAGATAATTGCAACATACTTAACAATTTGCAAGTAAATAATTACATAATAAAATAGCATTTAATACACATCGATTTTATTTTATACTCAAAGAATGTTCTTTAAAAAACGCAAGTTCGCAATTACAAATTTCAGTGAAAACCGATAAAAAAAAGTAATGCGTATCGAATAAAATTCCTAACATGTTATTCTTGAAATATTTAGTTATAAATTTTCAAAAAATTAAATAATTATAAAATTTTAAAATATCATGAGCAAAAAAAATTGGGCCTATAAAAATTTGTAAATAAATAATAATACTAATCTGATAAGAAAATATTTATACTTATAATTATACAATAAATCAGTCAATCAAACTAATCATAAATTTAAATCAAAAAGAAAATTATTTTTTTTGCTAATCATCAAAAATATGAAAATATATATTTTAAAAAAGACATATTGATTCATATGTAGTTTTGAGTTTGTTGCCATATATGTTATTATTATGTGAATGAGATTAATTTCATTCTAAATTTCATCATAAAATAATTAATTATTTTGATGAGAATAATTAATTTTTATTCAATTTTATAAACTTTAGGAGATTTCTTCAAGAAAAAAAGTAACTTCGTATCAAACTCAGAGTACTTAAAATTTGCTATGAAAGTAACAAACAAAGTAAATGGTGAAAATTTTAAATAATAGTTAAAATTTGCTTTGCTTCAGTTGACTTTTTGTTTTAATAATAATAATATGTTTATTGCATCAGTCGTACAAAAAAAAAATATACAGAAATAAAAAGAACAAAATAAATATATATATAAATTCAAAAAAGTTAACTGATACAAAGGGCTATTAACAATAGGTCTTTCTGCCCAGGGAATAATAATATAACAAAATTATAACAGAATCCTTCAAATCGAACCCCGAGCCTCAACGTGCAAAACTGAGATTGGAAGGTTTGGAGCAAAACTTTGCAAACAGTATGTCGATGCATTCCAAAATGGGTTTGACCCTAATGTACTCATACAGTAGCTCGTTGGGAGGGTTTTTGTTTTATTAGTATTATATGGAAATGTAAAATTAGCTTTTTTTATTGTTGGAATAAATATTATTATTTGAATTGTAATTAAATTATCGAATTTAGCAGAATAAAGCTAATAAGTAAATAATTAAGTATTTGCACGTAAATAAACTAAATTCTTTTAATGATAAAACATTGATTTTACTTCAGTTAAATAATTTACCGATAAATGAGAAATGAAATGTTTTATTAAAATATAGTTAATAATTAATTGATTAGTTAAAATAGAATTAAGATAATAACAATTTTATATAATTATTTTTAAGTAAATAATATTTATTTTTTCCAATATAATTTTTGATTGACGGTATTTCGGTTGTCGGGCTTGCGATTGCCACCGATTAAATACAATGATTAAATTTAAAACTATTAGGTTAATAACGAAATTTAAGCAAATGTAAATAAATATTAGAAGAGTTTTGGACATTGATTTTTTAAATACTTTACCCTTTAAGACACAACTCTTACGAGAGTGAAGTAAGTAAAAATCAAGTAGGCAGCAATTAGAAATCGGAAACAATTGAAACTTTAAAGAGCACGTTGCCGCTCATTACGCAAACGGAATGTCCGGTCGGAACGTTCATTTATTTCCAGCCCACTCGATTATTACTCTTGCAACTTTTACTTTACTCTATTTGCTCGTTGAAATCAAGTGTGTCATATTTAGTTGGATATATACACACACTGACACGGCATTCTTATTTATAGGCATCGCTTGATTTTTTTTTCTCGCTCTTAGTTCTTTCGTTTTTTTTAAATGAGCGGAGATTTTTTCCTTCGATTGTCGACCCAATTTTTGCCCCCGTTCTCGTCGTGCACGCCACCTCTCTTAAAACCACTTAAGTAATGAAGAGTGCTCCAATTTAAAGTGTACGAGAAATTATCGCCCCTTTTTGTTTTCGTTGTTTTGTTTTTTCCTTTTGTTTTGTTTTCTTCAAGAACGGAAGCCGCAATAATCGCGATTGGCTATGAAAAGCTTTGCCTACTCATAACGCTAAACGTGCCCACCCACAATAAACACATTTCCATAGAAACAAAACAGTTGAGTTATTGGATTGCACAAGTTGGTGCAACCGTTGGTTGGATAAAACGATAATAATAGAAAATGGCGGAAACACTACTTAATTACTAGTTTGAAATTTACAAAAAAAAATTCAAGTCTGATTTTCTATAGTGATAAATCTTATAATATATACACATTCATTCAAAAATAATTGTTTCGACATAATATAATGCTTAAGTTATTCACTTAACAATTCAAAATAAATTTATACAAGTTTTGATATTTAAAAATTCTATCAGTTCAATACCATTGAATAATCCATGAGATATTGTATATCATAATATTTTAGAAAATAATTCCGAAAAATATAATTAAAATTCTTAAAAAGTTATATTAATTAAAAACTAAACATAATAATGTGCTCTTATCTTATTATTAAAAATCTAATATTTATAGTATTAATTATTTAAAATCGGTGGCAATCGCAAGCCCGACAACCGAAATCCCGTAATCAAATTCCCGACGTTCAAAATCCCTACTGTATCAAAATCCCGACGTTCGAAATTCCGACTGTATCGAAATCCCGACAACCATAATCCCGACTATATCAAAATCCCGACAACCATAATGCCGACTGTATCAAAATCACGACTATACGCAAAATGTCTTCAATAACTTTTTTATATTATTTCGGAGCATAGTCACTTTAAATTGTTATTAATAATAAATAACAATCTAATTGTATTTGAGATTATTTTTTAATGTTAAGGTTTATTATGAATAATTCAACAAAATCAAATAAATTAATAATCATTTATTGTTATTAAAAATAAAAACGCTCCGAAATAATTTAAAAATGTTATTGTAGACATTTTCGATATAATCGGGATTTTGATACAGTCGAGATTTTGATACAGTCGGGATTATTGTTGTCGAGATTCTGATACAGTCGGGATTATGGTTGTCGAGATTTTGATATAGTCGGTATTTCGATAGACGGTATTTCGGTTGTCGGGTTTGCGATATAGACCCATTGAAAATACATATATTGGACCCAATTTTCCCACTGAAATCTGCCTGGTCATATTTATAACAATATTATTATTTTAATATATCGAATAAATCGTAATATATTCATAGATATTCATAGGAACTTACACACACAAAAATTCAATTCAATTAACGAAAACTAAAATATTTTTTTCATATACAGTGGATCCTCACTTTAATATCCTTGCAAAATAAATTGTAAAAATTTACCTTATGTTATTTGGTTTATTTTTTGTGAACGATTTAATAAAACTTACATGTATCCGAATAAAAAAACGATATAATAAAAATAACCATAGATATGATAAGCAAAATCATTAGAAAGAGAGACCAAGTTATTTTTTCCGACATGGAAAGCATTATCACATTTGACATTAGTTTATATGGGGAAAATTGTTTCACAATACCAGTATTTCATTATAAAAGTAAAAATCCCGAAATTCTGGAACGGATTATGCTCGTTAAGCAAAGCTCCACTGTATATTTATATTGTATTGGTATAGCAAGACAATACAATTTATAAAGTATTTAATTTAGTTAAAGGACTCAATATTATTTAAATTTCATATTTTGTATTACAAAATAGGTCGGATAAACTGTTATAAATAATATGTATATGTATGTATATGTATTTTTTTAAATTTAAAAACATTTAAAATGTTCAAGTAAATTTGAAATAGATTTTTTTTTAAATTGAAATGTGAAAACCCAAATTTTATTAAATAAATATATTTTAATTTCTTCTATAAGAAAATTTTAAATTAAAAAATAATTCATTACAACGCTATTTAGCTATTTGATTGTTGAGTGTTTCAGTTTTATATTGAGGTTGTCTTTGCTTGTTTCGTAGGGTGAAATATAAAGATTTTTTACGCTTCGTGAAGGAACGATCAGAGAATGTGTGCTAGAATAAATTTACATGGAATAAACATGCGAGTGGAGTGTAGTGTAGTGTTTTGTTTTCGATTTCAACGGAATTTTAGTTAAGTTTGCTTGCCTTGAATGTTTTGTAAGAAGAGACGACGTAGGAAGCGCCATCCTCGAGCTCATCCAACCGGAACTTCCGGTCACCATCCATTGAGAAGATGTATCGGGCTCCGCGCGGAAGGTCCATGCGCAACGAAAGCTTGTCGAGGAGGGTCTCCAAAGTACCGATATCTCGACCCGGTTTGAACCGGAACTCGATGCCGGGAAAGAAAGGATCACCGTTCTTGTAGAAGAGGACCCTCCGGGCCTTCCAGTAGGATAGGTTGCCATACCGACTCGTAGCAAGCTCGACGCGACTCTTGGAGCGCGGCGGTTGCTGCTGGTGAGGTGGCGGCGGCGGAGGCAGCATCGAGGACACGTCGCTCGCGTTGTCGGCCATGGAGGCGGCGTTTGATTGCAGCTGACGAGGACCGCCGCCTCCGGGACTCGACTGCCGCCAATAACCGCGACCCGCCGTACTGCTGCGACTGCGGTGTTGCTGCTGCTGCAAATGGTGCGGAGGCGGCGGCCGCGAATTTTCCTCCTCGTAGTCGACGTCCGCGTCTTCGTCTTCCTCGTCCTCCTCTTCTTCGTCTGTTTCTGTGCTCTTGTTTCCCGTCCCGGCTGCGCCTGATGCTGCCGACACCACACTGAGCGAGTTCATACCGCCCTCGTGACGCGGCGCTACCGCCTCATCGTCGCCGCCGCCCCCGTCGTCCTCGTCGACGCCGCCACCGCTGCCCGCGACTGCGTCGACCTCACCCGAGTTGCGCATTCCGTCTTCGTCATCATACTGTTGCATTCTGCTGCCAGCCCTCGACGGCGCAACAGACACCTAACAACATCCAATACAAATGAACAACAATTAACAACTTTAGTTTCAAACAAACAACGCACAAAATGGCAACAATTAGACAGATTTCGCCATTCATAAAATTAATTTTATTATTATACAATTACTCAATGTTCGTATTTAAGTCTAAATTAATAATATAATCATTAAAGTGAAATACATTATAATATATATAGATCAGTATTTCCCAACGTAGCGCAATTTGATTGTAAAGTGGAGCAATTCAAAAATGCACACATAACTAGAAATATAATCAATAAATATCTGCTAAATTAATAGTCAAATTGCTAATATAAATAAAAATTTAAACTTTTTAACTCATTTAATAAAAAATGACATTCATTCAAATTATTTGGTATAAAACATTACTCAAAATAAAAAAAATATTTTCACTTATTTACGCATCTACCGTTGATTCATAGCACAGCCAACTGAACGAAAAACTTTAAATAAAATATTAAACTGTACGACTATATATACCTTTTTCAAGGTGGGTTAAAATATTTCCTACCATGCATAAAAAGTTAAGCAAAAGGTGGGATAGTTTTTACCATACCTAACCCTAAAGATTTAATAGAAAACTTATGAATATTTAAGAAAAAAAAAATGAAATCAAATTCAGAAATTAAAAATAAAAATTAACATTTCGAAAGTAAAATCATTTATTAAATTAGATTAAATTTTGTTTAATGAGAATAAATGAGTTAACAAAAATAAATCGAAATGCTAAAAATGTTCCAAAAGTTAACGAAGTTATTTCGGTTTCAAAACAAATAAATAACGATGCGATACGAACATAATTTCGGTTAACGAACAACATTTTTAATACCACTGATAAAGTGAAGTTAAATTTGTGTGTATATTTATATTATATATCTACTTATTTTTTGCATATGATTTTATTCATTAATGAATATTATAATTAATTTTTTTTGAACAATTCGGTTTTCGAAATACTTTTGGATCATTCAATTAATCTCAAATTCAAAATAAGTAGTTTTTAATTAAAATATTGAATTTGAAATTAAATTATCATTAATTCGTATATTCCTATTTTTTGTTCAATAAATAGAATATGTAAATAATTTACCACAATTTCCACATATTCAAAGCAAAATAAATCTAGAAATGTACTAACAACTTAGTATGAAAGGCAACTGAGTCATAATAACGTGTCGCGTAAGAAAATCGATCGAATTAGCACCAATTTCGCGACTTCTCAAGAACAGGAAAATTACAAGTATATTGTAGAAAATTGAGTCACTTTGATTGCATTCCATGAAAATTTCGACACTGAATTACACACAAAGTACATGAGTAAACTATGGAAATGTCGGAACGAAAGAAGAGGGTGAAATAATAAGAGTAAAGAAAAACATGTGAAAATTTTCTTCGACCCATGCATAATGCAGGTTCCGATTTGCATACGCGATGCATGATTAAATGCGGCCGACCGTTAAACGGACACGAAATAAAACGGAGCGAGAAAAGTGCAAGACGTTTAATTAAATCGAAAATACGACAAAAAATAATAGATGAGTTTGAAACAAAAAAAAATAAATTAAAAGAAAAAGTAGATATTGATGTACGCTATAAACATTTATGTTCGTTACAAGCGAATTGTTATGGTAAATAACAAAAAGAAATGAATAAATAAATTAAATGAGGTCATAACAATAAGTGTTTCTTTGCATGAAGCGATTAAAAGAAAAATTCTAACTTCTAAACTTGCAAATGTAAAAAAATTAATCAATAAAAAGAATTCATAGTTAATTGATCCGCTATTAGTATAAATAAAGTTTGATATACAATAAATAAAAATGGAAATACCCGGCGCATGCACCACCAATTTTGGAATACTGTAGTTTACTAATATTAAGAATTTAATTAATAAATTATAATATTTTACCATTTTTCTACTCCTCAGTTTAACGTTTTTCGCTGCACACTCGTTTCTCTCTTTGTTCGCTTCAGACCACTAGAAAGGTCATTATCCGGTTTAACGACCGGTTAAATGCCCGACCGAGCAAAGCGCCAAGTTCAAAACCGATGATCGAACAATCCGCAAAGACCTTCTTGTTTTCAACTAATAACCGGTAATTTTACAGCGATTTTTGAATGAAACTGATTTTGATTTCGTTGCTGGATTTTTTTGAAGAGACGGAATCTGTGCTCGGTCCTGCAAGGACGGCACAAAACTGGCAAACTTGTTGCACCGCGTTCCGGAGTATTGACTCCGACAGTGTTTCGCGATTGGTCGACTGCGGACAGAGCGGACCAATCGGATTGCGTCGTCGCCCATTCCACGTTTGCCCTCTTTTCGGAAGCCGGCACGCACCCCCCATTGGCCACTTCCGGTCCGGCGTTAGGAGAAACAAAAGAATTTAAAGACGAAAATGAAAAATGAGAAAAATCAACAATTGAAAAATTTAAGAAACAAGAGAAAATTTTTGAATTCTACGGTGATAATTAAAACCGTCTGGACTACATTCCTTTTTTTTTCTCTTTCTCTTGTCCCTTATCGGTAATTACGAGCGTTTGAGTCGTGGACATGCGACTGCTACTGCGATTCTTCACGGCAAATAGAAATTAAACCCACCCGAACGTTTTCATTGTTCTCTCCAAACAAGCAAGAAATAAGTCGATTAGAAGTAAAAAAAATAGGTTTTTCTTCCATTAATCACACATTTTAGGGGATTTTTTTTTAAGGAAATAATAAGTCTACGTCAAATCAAACTATTAATATTACATTTGCTCTGTCTTAACAAACAAAAAAATAAGTTAACTATAAGAAGTTTAAAAATATTTGGATCTTTGCTTCAAATTTGGTGGATGCGCCGGTTTAATAGTCTCTAAAATTGTAGAAAATAAATAATTAATTGGTGTTAATTATAGATAAAATTTATTATAAAAAATATATTTTAATTAAATTTATTGAACTTGGCCTTAAGTACAGTAAAATTTATTAAAAAATACATTAATTGATTGCAATTTTTCCATATTGAATAATGCATTTAGCGTATTTTGAAATATTAACTGCAATACTTTATGCGGGTAATACATTCCACTGTTTGAAGGACTTTGAAACCGCATAAAACAAAGTCCACAAAAAGATACTTGACTTTATAAAGAAAAAAAATAGTTTGCCTTAAAATTTTCAAACAGGACTATAGTGAATCCGCACTGATTGAAGCCGTACTATAGGAAGAATGTTGTACCTCAAATTTGGCAAATGTACCAGACAATTGCAGTTAGAATTTTAGTAAAGAAAAATAATTTATTAGTAAATAAAAAAACTAGTTTCGTACAATTTATAATTCATTAAAAAATCGGTGGATTCGGCGGGAAATTAGAATTGAAATAGAAGAATAGAGTTATAAAAAAATATAAAAAAGTTTATTAATACACAGATTAGTTATTATTAATAGTCAAGTAACCTAAGTAAATAGATGAATTATATATGTTCTCATAATTTAACGATTATTATAACTTATGTATAATTACAATATTACTTTGAGTTTCTTTTTACAATTTAATTATTTTATGTATAATTGTTTTGTACATTTATATTTCTTATATCATTTTTTCTATATATACAGCCAAATTGAACTGCAACTTTTTAGAACGCTGTATTTTTTTAATTTGAAATTGGATTTTATTGAATCAAAACAAAACAAAAATTCGAATTCATTTCAAATTTTCTATATGGCCGCCTTGAGAGTGAACTATGTCTTTGAGTTGTTCAACAAGCGAGTCACACGCTGCAGGAATGTGAACCTGCGGAATCTTCCTCCATTCACGAAGAAGGGCTTTTTGAGCACTTTAACACTCTGGATTTTTTTAGTACTGACATTGGCATGTAAAATGCCGAGAAGTCGGATGCATCTAGTCACCGTAGAAATAAAGCGTGGAACGTTGTCTCTCAGCCATTGTTGGTTTTCGCGTACTTTGTGTGATGGTGCAGAATCTTCTTGAAACGTCCACTCTTTCTGACAGAAAG